AGGTCTGGGGAAGTTGTTCCCAGGTGTTGCAGTACAGCCTGGCTAGAAGGCTTGGAGGAATTCAGCGCCAGGTATTCAGGGGGCAGGAAGAGAAGGAAGGTATAAAGAGACGAGAAGCGGTTGTTCTGTCTCCTGCTGGAAGCTCCGTGTTGCTACTTTCTCGTACTGCCTATTTGCTGGTCTCTGATAGGAGTCCAAGATGGCGGATCTGCGCTGTGGTAGCTAATAGGAGACCTCTGCATGAACCTCTCCTCACTCTCCATTCTCTGTCAGTTTTCTCACTCCATTTGGTGCTTGGCTGAGTTCTTTATCTCTTCATTTGATGTTTTAGGGTTTCAGGATTGCTGTTTTCTCTGTTTGGCTTAGTTTTTCGGATATTTGCTGTGGAGCGACTGCGTGGTGCTTCTGCCTAGAGCGCCATGTTCTTGATCTAATTCTTTATCCTTCATTTGATGCTTGGGCTTGCAGGACTGACATTTATATCTGTTTTACTTAGTTTTTCAGATCTTTGCTGTAGAGGGACAGCATGGTGCATCTGTCTAGGGTACCACATTGGCTCCACCTCCTATTTTTTTCTTTTTAGTAGATTAACTGCTCTGTTAATTGAATGTTAGATAAGGCAAACTAATCAAGGCTGTCTTTGTAGAATGTGCATGATCTTTCAGAAAGTGATAGTCATTAAGCGTATGATGGCACTTGAAAAAAATAATAATCTTACTTTTCAAGTTTTAAATTGTTTTTGTAAATAAAATTGTTCCATTGCTCTTTCATCTAAAAACTATCAGATCCCTTTAAACTAGTTGATAGATTAGACCTTTGGGATCACCAGGAATATGTTTAGAAACACTGTAAATCTTTTTAGATTTAGTTAACCAGTATCTTAGTTCTGGTTTGTGAATTGAGTATATTTACTAACCTATTTCTCAAATATATTGTAAAAAATATTGTTAATAATTTCTGGTATACTCTGCTCATAAGCAACGTTTGCCAGACTTTTATTGCTTATAATTTTGTCCTTGTATTTGTCTTGCAGTGTGTGCTGTATTTATGGAGTTTAAAGATTAATTATCCCAAAACATTGTTTCTACTTAGAGGAAATCATGAATGCAGACATCTTACAGAATACTTCACCTTCAAACAGGAATGTAAGTATGACCATTTCTTCACAACTCCTTTAGTTACTGTTTAGACTAGCCCAAAGTGAATCAAATATAAAGAAAGAGAAACTAATGGGACGCAAATATTTCCTCTCTTTTTTTTTCAAGTAAGAATCAAGATTCTATTTTTTGGGACATTTATTTTGAAAATAATTTTGGTTTTCTTCCCCGTTATTTATAAAGTAATAAATTGGGAATATTTGAAAAACATAGAGAAGTCCAAAGAAGATAAAAATTGTTCATAATCATACCACCTAGAGATAATCACTATTATCTCACTATTTGGGATATAGTGTTCCATTCATTCTTTTTTTCTGTGTATATAAAAACCTATTATGAAATAGCTCAAGCATATGTATCTGTATATATTTTTAAATAACACTGGACTTATATGTAGTGTTTAATAAATTTGCTCTTTTCACTTAACAAAAACATTTTTCTGTATCATTAAATATTTGTGAAAATGTGACTTTGAAAATATTATTTTAATGTTTTTAAAGTATTTCATCTTATGGAAGCACTATCACTTATTTAGTCAATTTATTAACAACTGTAGGACATTTAGGTTGTTTCTAACTATAAATAATTTACTGTAATAGTAGAAAAATAAAAGATAAAGAATTTTTTTAAGTCAAAAGGTTACTAGATGATTAAAAAAGAAAGCCCACCCACAGATTTCTTTGACCAGAATCCAGGTACTCATAATTTGCTCTCTTAACAAACGCTGTGATTGGGGATGTTTGGGGGATTCTGCCCCAGGGCATTTGCATGTATTGTTTCTTCTTTTCCCAGATACCTCTCCGCTTATAAGGCTTGCATCCTTACTTCATTCAGATCATGAGATTTTCTTCCCTGGTTGCTTTTTCTAAATTAATATCTGTCACCATTTTACTTTCCTACTCTGCTTTTTTTCCCCATAGTATTTATCAACACCTAAAATTTTAATATATTTATTTGGTTACTGTCTTTCTCTCTCACCACAATGTAAGCTCCATGATGACAGGGACACATTTATTTGTTTACTGTTATTCCAGCAGACAGAATAGTATCTAGATAGTAGCTCATAGGAGATGCTTAATAAGTATTTGTTGAATTAATTTGTTGAATGAATGAGCATCTATGATTTGTATCTTTAGGATAAACTCTGAAGGTAATTAATAGGCCAGAGAGAATGAACATTTTAAAGACTATTGATACATACTCTAAATATCCCTCCAAAAAAATATGTATCAGTTTATGTTCCAAGCAATTTTTGTATTTTTATAATGCAAAGAAGATGCTGAAATAAAATTAAAATTATACCTTTTATGATTTATAAAATGTTAGCATATTCTCTATAAAATAAGGAAACAAAACTAAATTTCTCCAGTCCCTTCTGGTTCTAAAATTATATAATGTACCTCTTTTCCCAAATAACCCTGAGTATATAAAATTACTTTAGTAATTTTGATCATGGATTTTACTCCGTGTCCCATTCAGATTTTTCTTCAGATTATTATCTTGGAGGAATATGTTATAAAATATTTAAGGTTTTATTCCCAAAAGAATATTCAAAATGAAAATAAAACACATATAAATTTGTTTTCAAAGACTCAGAGTTTATCCACCCCCCACCATGAAATCCCTTACTGATATGTAGAATACAATTTGATACGGAGCTCCATATGCTCATATTAATAAGTTGATTTGAGCATTTAATTCACGTTACCGGTAGTTTTCTACATCGGAGATGGTAGTCGTAATGACAGCCTCCCTCTTGTAGAGCCTGAAAGCATTATTATTAAATTATAGGGTATGAACACTGAAAAATTCCTCTGACAGAAAAGTCAGCTACAAGTGGGCAAGCTACAGATCATTCCAGCCCTTAGGGACTTCCTGGAATAAACACAGCAATTATGGGGATGGTGCAGGCCCAGGAAGAGTTTTGTTCCATTATGTATGGGGTCACCATGAGTCAGAAGCCAACTCCATGGCAGCTAACACAATATCAGCAGATAATAACCGGGAAGTTTTAAAAAATGAGATCTGTTTGTAAATTGGTGTAAAGTATTTGAAGAGCAATTTTGCAATAGCTATAGAAATTTTAAGTGTGCACACCCTTGACCCAGCTGTGTGACTTCTAGAAATGTTTTCTGCAGCCTATGTGAGTTTTCTATTGCTGCTTAACAAATTACCACAAATTTAGCAGCTTAATACAAGACACTTTTCTTTTTTTAAATCTGACAGTTTCTGTAGGTTAGAAGTTCAGGCACAGTGTGGGTGGATTCTCTGCTCAGGGTCTCACTGAGCTGAAATCAGGGTGTCAGTCAGGACTGTAGTTTTCATCTGGGCTTGGAGTCCTTTTCCAGACTCACTAGTTGTTGGCAGAATTCATGTCTTTGTGACTGCAGGGCTAAGGCCTCCATTTCCTGCTAGCTGGGGGACTGTTCTTGGCTTCTAGAGACCGCTGAGTTTCTTGCAACATGGCCTCTGTAGGTAGTTCACAAAATGGATGTTTGCTTTCCAGGACGCATATCTCTGACTTCTTCTTCAACAGTCAGCCAGCTGGAGAAAATGCTCTGCTTTTAAACAGAGCCTTTAATAAACGCTCTGATTAGGTGAGGCCCACCCAGGATAATGTCCCTTGCCATATGTAACATAGGCGTGATATTTTATATATTCACAGGTTCTACCGCACTCAAAGAGGAGGGAACTAGTCAAGGGTATAGGTCATTTCAGGTCACCTTAGAATTCTGCCTACCACAGAGATATGCTCACAAAAAGACACAAATATATGTATGTATAAGGATGTTCCTTGTAGTATTAATTGTAATAGCCACAAAAAAAAAAAAAAAACAGAGATAATCTTAATGTCAATAAGGAACTGATTAAGTGATAGTACATTAGAAAATGGAGTAGTAGGCAGCTGTTGAAAGACCAAGGAAGAGCTATATATACTGATAAGGAGAGATGTTTAGATAATTTGTTAGGTGCAAAAGGCCATTTGAAGAATGTGTAGAGTATGATCTCCTTTGTAAATAAAAATATGAACAGAAGAAATTGTGTACAGTGATAAATTACCTCTGCAGATTTCAGTCAAGAGGACTTGTACTTTTAATTTTATATCCTTCTGTAGTACTATTCAGTTACTTTATACCACCACCATGTACTGCTTTTATATTTTTAAAAAACTGGTTATTTAATAATAACACAGTTGAGGCCCAGGCATTTAAAAGGCTTGTGAAAACACCCCAGGTAATTCTGTTGCATGCTGCTGGTTAAGAACCACTGCTCCATTCTTTTGAAAGTATTTATGATTCATCGTTTGAGAACCACTTCACCAAATTGTTTAAAATTCTGAAATATTATGCAATGTTTTCCTAAGCCGTGTAATGGGGTATTCCTCATTTTGCCTACGTTTTTTAATCTAGAAAAATTAAGTAACACATTTAAAGCAGTTAACAAAGGCCCTAGAATGTAATGGTCAATGAAAGTTAGGTATTTTTATTACATGGGAGTAGATAAGTAATGAAGAAAGCTGTGTAAGGATGGTTCTGTTCATAATTAAGGTACAAGGTTTTGTTTTTGGTTTTTTTGTTTGTTTTTTATAATTTATTTTTGTTGTTGTTGAGAATGTATACAGCAGAACATATACCAGTTCAACAGTTTCTACATGACAATTTAGTAACATTGATTACATTCAAGTTGTGCAACCATTTTCACCCTCCTTTTCTGAGTTATTTCTTCCCCATTAACATAAACTCACTGCCCCCTAAGATTCCTATCTAATCTTTCCAGTTGCTGTTGTTAGTTTGATCCCAAATAGATAGATCTTAAAAAGCACGCAAGGCAGACATTCTTTATTAGTTAAGCTAAACTGTTGTTTGGTTTTAAGAAGACTTCAGGGGATATTTTTGGTTTAAAGTTTAAAGATTATCTCAGGGCAATAGATTTCAGGGGTTTACCCAGCCTCCATGGCTTCAGAAATGCTGGATTCCATGAGAATTTGGAATTCTGTTCTGTATTTTTTTCCTTTTGATCAGGATTTTTCTAAGGAGTCTTTGATCAAAATGTTCAGTTATGGTAGCTGGGCACCATCCAGTTCTTCTGGTCTCATGGCAAAGTAAGCAGTTGTTCATGAAGGCAGTTAGCCTACACATTCCATTTCCTCCTGTTCCCAACTCTCCTTCTTCCTCTGTTGCTCCTGGTGAATAGAGAACAATTGTTGTACCTTGAATGGCCTCTTGCAAGCTTTTAAGACCCCAGGCACTACACAGTGAACTAAGAGGTAGAACAGAAGACTGAACACGTTGTTAGGCCAATTAACGGAAACCAGGACCCTAAACTTCCAAACCAAGGAATCAAATCCCATCTGGTATTTGGTTGTACATAAGCAGGCTCAGCAGCTATTCTTTGTTTGTTTTGTTGTTTTTGTGAATATATCTATCACACAACTTGTCAATTCAACTTTTTACAGGTATACAATTTATTGACCAAAATTACATTAATCAGCTATATAACCCTTCCCTTAATCAATACAATTTTTCTATCACTGTAAATCAAAGCTCAGTACTCCATAAGCAATAACCCCCCACCTTTCCCACTCCCTCCCACCACTGATAACCACTAATAAACTTTAATCTCTATACATCATTTGCCTGTTCTTGTCTTTTTATATAAGTGAAGTCATACAATATTTGTCCTTTTGTGATTGACTTATTTCACTCAGCTCAATGTCTTCAAGCTCCATCCTTATTGTAGCATGTATCAGGACTTCATTTCTCCTACTGGCTAAGTAGTATCCCACTGTATATATGTACCACATTTTCTTTATCCATTCAACTGTTGATGGGCATTTAGGTTGTTTCCACCTTTTGGCTGTTGTGAATTGTGCTGCAATGAACATTGGTGTGCAAGTCTTTGTTTGAGTCTCTGCTTTCAAGTCTTTTGGGTATATATGTAGGAGTGGAATTGCTGGGTCATACGGTAGTTCTGTTTTTAGATTTTTGAGAAACTGCCACACTGTTTTCCACAACAGCCATAGCATTTTGCATTCCCATCAGTAATGGATAAGGTTTCCAATTTCCCCACATCCTCACCAACATTTACTATTTTCTATTTTTTTTTTAATCTTAGCCATTTTAGTAGGAGTGAAATGCTATCTCGTTGTGGTTTGATTTGCATCTCTCTGATGGCTAATGACATTGAGCATCTTCATATGTTTGGTGACCATCTGAATGTCTTCTTTGGTGAAATGTCTGTTTAAAGTCCTTTGCTCGTTTTATGATTGGGTTATTTGTCTTCTTGTCATTAAGTTGTGGTACAGGTTTTTTTTAGGTGATATTTTATCTAATTCTCTGTTTTATCAGAGTTCTTATTTTGACTAGTAAAATTGGTTGAGGCTATTTTTAGAAGAGAGAACAGTAGGTTCAGGAGACATTTTGAGTGTTTCATCTTGCACGGAATTTCTTATCTTGGGTTTTTATTTGCTTTTTCACATCCTGCGACTGTAAATTAAGTTGCTTTCTTTTTAAAGCAACCAAAATACTGCTTCTGCTTCACTCTAACATTGCACCTGAAATGTAAATAAATCTTGGAACAAGCATACAAATTTAAGTACAATTTTTAAATTTTATTTCTATATAAGGAAAGAACATGTGTGCTGCTTTGCATGCCTATTTTCACTTATAAGCTGATCCCTCTTAAAGGGCCACCGTGGCTTTTAGAATCAGCACCTTATAATTACTGCTAAGTGAAGCCTAGCTCCAGATTGTGCAGCTGGAATCTTGTAACGTTTTTTAAAGGAAGGAGGGCCTTTTCTTTTTTCATATCAGTTCTTAAATTGGTTTATACTGGAAAGATTTTTTTTTTTTAATTTTCTTTCTTTTTTTCCTTCTTTTAAAGGCAGAAGTAATTTGAGTAGCAAAGAACAGTGTAACATTTAATTTTTGACATATTGTTTATCTTTGCAAAAACATTTCTTTACTGTTATGTACTTGGAAAGCAAGAAACCTAGTGCCTTTATGATTCTATCTCATAGGTCTAGGTCCAAGTTTCTAAAGTAAACTGATTCTAGAAACTCTTGTAATTTTTGCTAATGAAAACAGTGTTGTTACCACAGGGTTTTTTTTTTTTTTTAAATAAGCAAATATTACTCGTCATTGTTCATTGCAGCATTATTTGTAGTAGTAAAATACTGGTCTGGTTAGAGTGTAATAGATTCATAAAGTGAAATACTATGTAGATGTTTTAAAAAAAAAAAAAGAAAGCTCTTCTTATAAAGATGTGACATGATCTCCAAAATATATTAAGTACAAAAAGCAAATGCAAAATAGTGTGTATATGCTACCATTATGTAAAAATCAAAAGGGAATTGTAAAAAGAGAATAAATGTACAAATATGCATGTGTGTACATAGAGTATCTTTGTAAAGATACCCAAGAAACAGGTAATATTGATTGCCTATAGAGAGGGGTAGATTAAACTTCACTGCAGCTTTTGAATTTTGAACTATGTAAATGTATTACTTTTTTTTTTTAATGAAAGCAAATAAAAATTAAAACAAATATACAGGCAGGGGCTAGAGCAGGTGGTGTTTTCTTGGGGATAGTGTTGATTCTTAAAATTGCTTTCAGAGAATTTTGTGGAAAATTGTTGTGATAATGCTGTATTACTGATACTGGTTAGAACTTATATCAGCGTGACCCTGTTGCTGTGGTGCGTTTTTCCTTCATTACAAAAATAATTGTTTTATGTAATATATCTTAAAATTTGTAATGAAAGTAAAGCACTTGGGTTAGCTAATTTTACCTTTGTGAATTACATATTTGGCTATTTAGATTCTCCTAGGTAATTTTTAGGGAATCCCTGGTGGTACCGTGGTCAAGAGCTGCTAACCAAAAGGTCGGCAGTTCGAATCCACCAGCCACTCTTTGGAAATCCTGTACGGCAGTTTTACTCTGTCCTATAGGATCGCTATGAGTCAAAATCGACTTGACTGCAATGGGTTTTTTTAGGTAATTTTAAAAAATAACTTAAAAATAATAATTAGGAGGAGTATTGCATGGTGGTTAAGAGTATGAACTTTGAGACGGACAAAGTTGGGTTCAAGTCCCAGTTCTGTCAGTAACTAGATTGCAACTTTGGGCAAGTAAGCCCTATTTCCTCAACCTTTAATTGAAAACAATAACAGTACCTACTTCATAGGGTTTCTGTGAAGATTAAATAATGTAATTTTATTGGTTAACAGTTATGTAGTACCTACTCAGGGCCAGTTCAACATCTACTAACAACAACTATATCCCAAGCACTATTAAAAGCATTTTACATATATGAATTCATTTAATCCTCAAAGCAATCCTATAGCGTAGGGAAGTATTATTATTATGCCCATTTTACAGATGAAGAAACCAAGGCACAGAGAATTAAAGAATTTGTACAAGGTCACATAACTAGTAAGTGGTGGAGCTGGAATTTAAATCCAGGCAATCAGTTTGGTTCCAGAATCCATCTCTGGAACCACTTAGCATACTGATGGCCACATGGTGAGCCTTCAATAAATTTTGATAATGAAGGTAATATAATAGTAGATATTATTATACAAAGCTCTATAGTCATCATAAAAAATTTAGAAAATACAGCTAAACCAAGCCAAGGAGAAATATAAATATCATCTTTAATCTAGCCCCTCAGAAAAAATAAAAATTTTAGCATTTATGTGCTTATTCATATACTTTAAAAAATAAAAATAGTAACATTTTATAACCTATTTTAGTAACATGTTAATATAACATGAACTTTCTTTTGCTTACTTTGATTTTTGACCTCCTATTTTAATTTACAAAATGGGTTAATAACACACTATATTACTTACCATCTTTCTCTTGACTTGGCATCCTTTTGGAAGTAGGCCATGGAATTCTTTTGTGTCATTCTTAGAGTTGAAAGGCGTTTCATTAATGTAAGATGGTGTTATGGATCATGAATTAATAAGTAGTCCAAATTCCTGCCTATATGTAAGCTTAAGACCCTTACAAAGAAATTCGATGGCAGTTTGATGTCATTGGTTCCCAGGATTTTCAGGGGAAAAATGTTAATCATTGGCCACAAATGAAGAGGGTTTTTTTGTTTTTTTCTCCAACCACTTTATAACCAATGTTGGACCCACTTTTTAAATAGCCAGAATTTGTAGTGTTTAAGTAGAAGGCAAAATACGAGGTTGTAACTGTAAAGAGGCAGTTCAAGTCCACTTAGAGTGCCTTGGAAGAAAGACCTGGCGGTCTATTTCCAAAAAATCAGCCACTGAAAACCTTGTGGAGCATAGTTCTCCTCTGACACACATGGGTCACCATGAGTTGGAATCGACTCAACAGCAACTGGATTTTGGTGTAGTAGATGATCTTAACTGCTATCCTGGTAATACAAAATGCCATGAAAGGTTCTAAAGAACCCACACTCCCTTAATGAACTCAAACCCTGATCCCCCAGTGTTGGCAAAGAAGAGAGAATTTTCGCGTGTTTAGGAATGGAAGGATTGTATAACCTCAAGTGTGGTCCACTGATTTACATGTTCCTCTTAGGGGAACTCTCTATAATAATCATTCTTGCCAACCCTATACTGCATTCTGGCCCAAGTCTGGACCCACTATCCTTCACTTTATTCCCCACAGCCTTGCCAAGGCCAGGCTCTGATATCTAAATGTGTTTTTTTCTAAAAGCTGGGAGTACAAAAAGGAAAATACAAAAATAATTACCAACGTGATACAGTACTCTTGACTCACTAGATGTGGCTTATTCCCTTGATTCTGTAGGCTTAATTTGAATCTTCATGGAATCTTGAAAGAGAACAAGCTCACAATTCTGTAAGGCTACCTGCCTATTTGACTTTTGGCCTTTTCTACCAACACATATGCCCAAGCTTGGCTTGACTTTTTGAAATCCAAGGCCAAGGGAGAAGAAAATCTTCCCTTTCTCTTTAAACTAAAGCCCCTCGTCCAGGTTCCCCCCGTTACTCCATGACCTATTCTTCCTGGATAATTTATGCTAGAAACAGCTCAGAGGCAATGAAACAATATTCACATTGAGCACATTAGGGAGCCAACCTGGCTTAGGAAACCTCAGGCATGATAAGTGCCAGTGCTCGTTGGACGCACCTTCTGGAGTCCCAGCCAGGGACATGCCCAATTATGAATCACCTCACTCAAAGAAGCCCAAAGCTATAGCTTTCCACCAGATATTTATAGTTATGATGTAGTTTGCTAATTGAATCATTTTTACCATAAGCCTTGTTGACATTCACCTTTATAAGGTTTCCAGGGGAACAGAGCAAGAAAGTTAATCCAAGGTCAAATTTGTCTTTAAAGAAGGAGAAAGGTTTTGCTAACCCTTAAAATCCACAACTTTTCAAAAAATATCTTTACGAAGGTCATTGTGTATTCAAATTTTCCCAAAATAAATGGCCTTTGAAATAGCTTCATATTCTTCTGGCCTATATCTTTTTGCATATCTGATGGATTTTAGCTTTTCTTTCTTTGACTGTATTTCATTTTTGATAGGTCGAATCAAATATTCTGAAGACGTGTATGATGCATGTATGGAGACGTTTGACTGTCTTCCCCTTGCTGCCCTCTTAAATCAGCAGTTTCTGTGTGTACATGGAGGGATGTCACCTGAAATTACTTGTTTAGATGACATTAAGAAAGTAAGTTATCTTTCATTATTTTCATATATTTTTTAAAGTTTGCTTTTTATTACAGTCAACTAATATATTTCTACTGCTGAAAGTTTTTAAATACAGAAAATCAGAAATAAGATAATAGAAATAACCTGCGATCCCATAATTGAGCAATAAATACTGTAAACATTTTGATATCTTCCAAAAATTTTCTGTAACTTTTTATGAAATCTGTGGTTTTATGAACTTGAAATATAACATTCTTTGTGTATAGCCCTGAAACTTTAAACTGCCTAGCAATGGAGAAGCAAAGAAACCAAGGTTCTCATCCCAGTGCTATTAATTAACTGTGTAACCTTGATCAAATCATGTAACCTCTTTGTCACATTTTCTTCTTTGTGAAATGACGAAGTTGGAATTAATAGTCTGAATACTCTTCTAGCTCTGAAATCCCATGACTTTGACATTTTAGATAATATAGTTTAATTGCTGTAATTGCCTTACTTAGAGATTATTATTCCCAAGAATCTGTATCTTCATGATTTGGTATATTTGATTCTCAATATTTTTTCACTTATTGTTCTACATTATGCTCTCTCATACAGGTACTAGGGCTAATATTTTTCCATTTATAAAACCGTTTTCTCTGAAATAAAGTCACTCTTGTTAGGGTGAGAGGGTTTGCCTGTATGCACTGCCTTTTCTGCTGCTTTATTGTCTTTTAAATAACCAGCATTTCCCTTTAACACAGTAAGTCTTGAATTTTAGAATTCCGAATCAACTATATCACTAAAAAAGCTCCCCTTTCACTTAGTAGAAGTCCTCTTCTTGGCACTCAGCTATTCTTGTTATTTGTTGTCTCTTGACTTTTATGCTTTTAACTAAAGTAGCAGCGACTAAAGGCTTAAGTTATTTTAAGTCATATTGAAGGCTTAAGTTATATTGAAATGCCTTCACCACACAGAGTGAAAAGGATGAAAGCCCTGTACTAAATAAAACTAGCATTCTTCAAAATGAAGACATTCCCACTGAAATGAGGTAAAGCAAAGAACAGAACCATTGTAAAACCTTCCTGCCCTCATGGTAATACTGGCTCACCTAGGCAGTTGAAATTAACTTCAAATAATCTTTCTAAATAATAGCTTATCTCTGTAGTGATTGCTTTACCCTGGTGGCATTGTGGTTAAGTACTACAGCTGCTAACAAAAAGGTCAGCAGTTCGAATCTACCAGGCGCTCCTTAGAAACTCTATGGGGCAGTTCTACTCTGTCCTATAGGGTTGCTGTGAAATGGAGTTGACTCAACGGCAACAGGTTATAGTGGCTGATTTTACATTTATATTAAATGAGTACTGATTTTAAGATTAAGATACAAAGGGGTCCTTTTCCACAATATGGTTAGATGACAGGGATATTTATAAGAATTTATTGCAGAAAAATAATAAGAAATTGTGTATCTATAATTTTTTTAAATTTATTTTATTTGTTGTTGTTGAGAATATACAGAGAAGAACATACACCCATTCAACAATTTCTACGTGTACAATTCAGTGACACTGATTACATTCTTTAAGCAGTGCAGCCATTCTCACCCTCCTTTCCTGAGTTGTTCCTCCTCCATTAACATAAACTCACTGCCCCCTAAGTTTCCTGTCTAATCTTTCGAGTTGCTTTTGTCATATAAACCCAAACCCATTGCCATCAAGTCAATTCTGACTCATAACAACACTATGGGACAGAGTAGAACCTCCCTCATAGAGTTTCCAAGGCTGTAATCTTTACATGAGCAGAAGGCCACATCTTTCTCCCACTGATCCCATACAGATAGTTATAATTTGTTAATGTTCTTTCCTTGCAGGAAAATCCTTTAGGGACTTACTGCCTTCTCTCTTGATACATTCTTGTGGGTAGACCAATTTCTAAGAGCTCTTTTGCTTTCATGATTTTTTTCTTTTGGCTTTTGTGTATCTTCTAGTTAGACAGATTTAAAGAACCTCCAGCCTTTGGACCAGTGTGTGACCTGCTTTGGTCTGATCCCTCAGAGGATTATGGCAGTGAAAAGACCTTGGAGCACTATACCCACAACACTGTCCGAGGGTGCTCTTATTTCTACAGGTAAGCTAATTCTTAGTGTTATAAAGTTAGGAGAGGAAACGGTAATAGATTTTATCACATTATTTTTAAGTATTTTGTATCTTGAACATGAGTAGTATAGGGAATTCTGTTTATATTTTTTATTAATAGAAGACAGAAGGCTCTTACTGTTTGTTCATTTTGTTTTCTATATTGTATTAGGTATTATACCCTAGTAAGTGTGGTACACTGAACATAATAGGACATCTTGCGTTGCTTCCAGATTGTCATCTGACTATAAATCATCTAGATTATTTGTTCCCAAAAATCATCTATAGACTTTTTTAAAAATAAAGATTTCTTGTTATTTTTAAAAAAGCTATCCAGATTTTAGAACCACATCTATAGGCAAAGATAGAAAGAACAAGACTTTGAGCTTAAAATGTACTAAGCCCAGGGCATTTCCTGGAAGTTGGCTGTTGCCTTAAATCTCGTATGTGAGCTTTTGCTGTGTTTTGCCACTAAAAAATAGGGGAAGTCTAGAGAGGTTTGAAGTCTTTTCTGACAAATAATACAAGCATTTAGTCCCCCCAAAATATCTCTTAATTGGCTAAGATAATGCATCCATTAAATTAAACCTACAATAATAATAATAATAATAAGCCTCATTTTTGCCATCAGTTTTAGCATTCTTCTAAGCAACCTTTTTTCCTTCCTCCCTGCCAACTTTGCCAGTTACTAACATGATGTAATCATTTAAACTTTACTTCTCTCTGCATTGCTTAAGAACAATATAATACTTATTTATCATTGACAGGGAGCCCTGGTGGTGCAGTGGTTAAGAGCTACAGCTACTAACCAAAGGGTCGGCAGTTCGAATCCACCAGCCACTCCTTGGAAACCCTTGGGGGCAGTTCTCCTTTGTCCTGTAGGGTGGCTATGAGTCAGGATTGACTCGATGGCAACGGGTTTTGTTTTGTTTTTTAAATAATTGGCAGGGTATAAATTGGTATTTCTATGGAGGTCAACTTGGCAATATCTCTCGTTTATAAAAGCACTTGACCTTTGATCCAGAAGAATTTCTTGTAATTACTTGTTAGACTTAATCCTATGGATATACTTGCAAATGTGTAAAATGTAGGTGTAAGATTATTCATTACAGCATCACTTATGCTAAAAATTGTAAACAACTTAAATGTTCATCAATAGGAGACAGGTTAAATAAATTGTGGTACATCCAAACAGTGAAATAGTGGGAAGCTGTGTTTTTATTTTTGTTTTTTGTTTTAATGTAGAAAAAGGAAACAAACTATATACTGATATAGAATAATCACGAATATAAAATTAAAAAAAAAATAATACAGAACTATGTGTGCCATCTGCTAACAGTTCTAAAAAAAAGAGGGGAAAGTGTATGTGTGTAATTGCTTAAAATTGAACAGAATATCTCTGAAAAAGTACTCAAGAAATTAAACATTGTTTTTTTTCCAGGGTAGCTGGAAAAAACTGTATACTCTTTTGTAGCATTCAATTTTATACCATACAAATGTATTGTGTATTTTAAAAGTTAATTTTTTTCTAATTAGCATGATGAGAAACAAAGATTTAAATAACATAAACTAGTTAATAACACCTGGATAATCCCAGGTTAATTATCTAGTCTCTAGTTCTTCCTGTAGGTATTTGTTATTCATAAAGATACTAGTACTAAAAGAGTATTTCAGGAATTGACACAAATATCACACCTTTCATTAGAATATGGTTGGGTGTAATATTTGCATCTACTCTTGAAATATCCCTGCTTAATATCATGTCTTATTGTTAATATTGCCTGTGAAGCTATAAGTAAATTCTTTCATTTTTCTAACATATGTTAATTTGATGGTTGAAGAAAATTGTGTGTTCAATTTTACTGTACACACATATGCACACAAAGACACACATACTACTGTGGTATTTTATTTTAATATCAAAATACCAAGAAAATTTTGATGTTGGATTATTACTGTTACGAGTTCAGATGAAAAAATAAAAAGGTGCGGGAGCCCTGTTTCTGTTATAGGGTTGTCTGTTATCTGCATATTTGATCTGGAAAGCAGTATATTCATGAAATGGAAAACAGAATGATGACTACTGAGCTATTTGGAAAAGTTCAGTGGCATGTAAACCTTTCATCTGGAAACAAAATCAACTCGTGCCATTTTGACATTTCCTGTCCCTTCTATTAAAAAATAATTGTTTTAATTCTGGATTTATGTTTTCTAATACTCTTTCAGTTACCCTGCAGTTTGTGAATTTTTGCAGAACAATAATTTGTTATCAATAATCAGAGCCCATGAAGCCCAAGATGCTGGGTAAGTTATATTAAAACTGTACCAAATTTCACTGTAGAGTTTTCACTTTAATATCAAGACAGACAAGCTGTCGTCTCTCTTCCAGGTATCGAATGTACAGGAAGAGCCAAACAACAGGCTTTCCATCACTCATTACAATTTTCTCTGCCCCAAATTACCTAGATGTCTATAACAATAAAGGTAAAAGAGTCCAGCAATATTTCAGTTTGAATTTGTGAGTAAATGTGAGCTCTAGTTTAATCATGTATGTGTGTGTATATATTATTTCCATATGTAAACTTAAAATAAGAGTGGAAGAGATTTTAATTGAAATGAAGGCCAAGAAATTTAGAATTTAGGCTGCTACTTGGTCTGCACCTTTTAAGGATTACTGGGCTCCTTCTGAGTATAATAATTATAATCGGTTTGATCTGTACTACTGAATCAAAGTATAAGAAGAATAAATTACTTCAGGTTTAAGTAGACCAGTCAGCTTAAATTATTGGCTTTGGTTAATTTTATTTGTTTATAACAATATCTTACTAAAATGTCATCATTGTGTTTTAATGTTTGTGAATTATTATGCTAGCGCTGCTTTTTCTTTTTTTTTTTTAAATGAATGGCAGTATAGGTAGAGTGAATACTATACAAAAAGTCAGAAAAAATCTTCATTTCAGTTCAAGCCCTGCCAGAAACAAAGAGTGTGACTTTGAGTATGTCACATAATCTTTCTAAACTTCAGTTTCTCCTATATAAAAAAAAAGGGAGGGGGGATTGGATATGCATTTGCCCTTTGATCTAGAAATTCTATTTCTAAGACTTCTTCCTATTAAAGTCTTTATGTTTAAAAATTTTTATGATTCATAGTTTTATATCAGGGCAGTGGTCCTTCTGAAAACTTGCTGCATCTTATAAATGTTTTGTTATAAGATATGACTACAAAATAATAGGACTTTTTAACAAACATGCCAGAACATATATATCCACGTGAGTATTATCCCTTTCAAAGTAGCTACCTGGGGAGGCTATACGCTTATTCCAACAATGCTGCCATTGCTCAAAACATTTTGGAACTCCTTTTTTGGCATTGCCTTCAGAGTCTGCGACACATTCTTTTGATTATCCTCAATGGTGGCAAATCTTCGTCCTTTGAGGGTGGATTTGATTTTTGGAACAGCCAAAAGTCATTCGGAGTCAAGACTGATGAATAAGGTGAGTGATCAAGCTAGGTGATACCATTTGGGGTCAGAAACAAGGTATGATTATAAGGTAATGAGACTGGTCTTTCTTGTGTTGCTTATAAACTGGCTCTGGAGGTAATTCCAAAAGAGGAGTTCCAAAAACATTTCGAATAATGGCAGCATCATTGGATTAAACATACAGCAAGGCAGCAAGGTGTGTTGAAAAGAGCGCTAAGCTAGGAGTCAGAGTTTCTAGTGTAGTCCTGCTTCACTTTTAAATGTGTGACTTTTAACAAGTTACTTAACTTCCCTGAGCCTCAGTTTATCTTTAAAATACCTGTCACATAGGGTTGTTGAACATAAGTTGGAATAATGAAAATGAATGTTAAATCATTTGCCAAATCATAAACTGCTGTAATACTGTAACATTTTGCTGTTATTGTGTCTGATGTGATTACATCAAAAGACCACACTCATGATATATAATTTCTGGTGTGTTTGTTGGTCGTGGTTTTTTAAGTCTCATTACTTTATAGTCACATCTTGAACGTGCAGTTGGGGAGACAAGTTTAAAAGAAGTCCACAGTATACTTAATATTTACTATATTTAAAAGTGAACTATGATTCACAACAGCCAAAAAGTAGAAACAACCCAAGTAAATGTCTATCAACAAATGAATGGATAAACAAAATGTGGTCTATCTATACAATGGAATATTATTCAGCCATAAAGAAATGAAGTTCTGATACATGCTACTACATGGATGAACCTTGAAAACACTATGCTAAGTGAAATAAGCCAGACACAAAAAGATAAATATCATATAATCCCACTTATATGAACTATCTAGCATAAGCAAATGCATAGAGGCAAAAGTAGATGAGTGGTTACCAGAGGCTAGAGAGAGGTGATGATGGGGAGCTGTTGTTTAAAAAAAAAAAATGCTGCACTCCTTTCCAATTAAATCAGAATCTCTGGGGTTAGGCAAAGGAGAGACATTGAACCAGGAAAAAGCTAGTCTTCCTTTGAAGTTCGTATGCTTCCATTTATAAGACAAGGAAAAGTATAAAACCCAGTAGTTTCCCTTTTTAGCCTTGACTGTACTTAATAGCTTTAAAAAAAAAAAAAGTGAACTAAGGAATCTCATTTAAATCTGATTTAAATCATCACTTCACTGCATCCTTCAGTGACTCATGGTCCATTTTTTAAAAGCATTTCTTATACTAAGTTCTCTCCCAGCCTATGTTTTCTTTTTATTTCTTCTGTAAGCCTCAGCTATGCTACGGTGCTTTCTTCTCCTTAACTCTATTCTTTCTTGTTTCCTTTTTTCTAACAATTTCAATATATTAGCAACTTGGTGCTACCCTTGCTCCTCCCTTATCAAAGGTATGCACTGCTTGTGCTGCTAACTTCTCTTCAAGGACACTTGGTGGCCCTAGTCCTCATATTTGTGATGAAGCCTTTCCCTTATTACTTTTTTTAACCTCATTATGAAGAATATCTGTTGACTGCCCAATGGATTTATCAGTGTGCTAAGCTGAAGCATGCCGCCTAAATCAGCAATCACTATACTAACTGCCAGCTCTTTTTTTTTTGCCCCATTCTAATCTGGTTTTGTTCTTGATTATTCCTTCAATAAGCTTTTTAAGTCACAGTCCATTATACCTGCGTTTTTTATAAGCTATGACATAATTGACAACTTTATCTTCTTGAAAAAAAAATCTTATTTTCCTTTGTTATTTCTTAAGTATTTTCTAGGAAAAAGGCAGAAAATGTGGCATCTGAAACAATCACTGGTGATACTCAATTACAGCCTGTACAAATACCCCTTTTCTTTAAAAAGGAAATTCTAGCCTCCGTTTCCTTCCTCTCTTCTACTGTTTTATTTTCTTTCTTTCTATCCTTTAAACTTACTGGTACGCAGAAGTATTTGTTAGTTCCACTGGTTACATGAAAGACCCTTAGGTCCTGATTTTTAAAGATTTTTCTCCTATTATTTTCTGGCCACTGGGAGCATATCCAAAAGCAATTTTTTAAGCTTTTGTTTCTAATCATTTACTATTGAGGCCCACCTCCCACCTCTTTTTCCTGTGTAGATTGAGGGAATTGTTAAATAATTATTCACCTAACCTAAATAAAATGCATATCTATGAAAATATTGAGGCATGTACGTTATTGCCAGTGTTAGGTTTTTGAGGGCCAGAGATCCTGTTTTCATGTATTTTCTTTAGAATGTATGTTGTACATTTTAAGCATTCAATAACTTACATTTTGAGAACACTAGAGCATAGGTAAAGGAGCCCTGGTGGTGCAATGGTCAAAACACTTGGCTGCTAACTGAAAGGTTGGCAGTTCAAACCCACCAGCCGCTCCGCAGCAGAAAGATGTGGCAGTCTGCTCTCGTAAAGATTACAGCCTGGAAAACACTGTGGGTCAGTTCTACTCTGTCCTTTAGGGTCGCTATGAGTCGGATTCGACTCGACGGCAACAGGTTTGGTTTTTCAGGTTTAGAACGTAGGTTACCCTGTAGTAACAAATGAGAACCAGGAGATGACCTATTTCTGTCATTTCTAGAGAACTGTTATACCCTATTCTGTTTTATGACCATAGTAAGAATACTTATAAGAATAGTGCAAACAATGTTACCGGTGGTGAATACTAAGGAATTGGATTTTATAACTTTTAAAATATAAAGAATCGGTTTGGCACCGAAATTATGGGTGCAATAATATGCACTGGTTAATATTAAACACTTATAGAGTGCTGTCAATATACTGATTGTGTATAGGACAGATAGGCATTTTTTAAAATTCACTCTATTGCATGCAGAGATGATTTAACAGACTTTTGAACACTGATTATCAATCACTCCATGATTATAATTTGTATCCCCCAATACGAATCGATAACTACTATGTTACGAACTCCCAGGAAATAAAATCTGGTTAATGATTAGCAAAACAGGCTGTGTTCATATAATAAGCAATACTTGCCCTCGAAGGAGACTTGTAACTGTAACCATTTGGCCTATAAAAGGAAATTTTTCTCATGGCAAACTGGAGGTTTCTATACAGTTACTGTGCAGTGACCCTTTGAAGTCTCAGAGCTCAGTTTGTTTTGTACCTTTATTATATGAGCTCTTCAGGTAACTTTCTTCCTTGGGATAATTCTTAAGAGAATGAACTATTATAAAATGCTTAATTTTTTTCCATCTGCACTTAAGTTCTGAATTTATAAATAGAAAGTTCCTTAGTTCTGTGTGGTAAGTGTACAGCTGTACAAAGTATATCAATTGCTGCGTCATGTTCCTCTGTGCTCAGATTTTCTTGCTTTTTCCTTTTTAGCTGCTGTGCTGAAGTATGAAAACAATGTCATGAATATCAGGCAGTTTAACTGTTCTCCACACCCTTACTGGCTTCCAAACTTTATGGACGTCTTCACATGGTCTTTGCCTTTTGTTGGGGAGAAAGGTGAGAGAAAGAAAGCATCTGGATCTTCAGTTGTTTTAACTAGTGACTGAGTACAACTTTGTATTTATATGTAGTTGCCCTGATGATTCAGAAATGAAGTTATCAGAAATGTTTTCTGATATATAATTTTGTTTGCTCTCCACAAAGATTTTTGAATGACACTTAATTGACTCTTATATTATAGTTAGAGTGGGTCATCCTTTTCTTATTCTAATATCAATTTAAAGTAACTGTCCTACTATGATCAACATGTTAAAATAACATAGTCACTGTTATTCCCTCAGTGATTTCTTCATTGCTAAAGAGATGAAGCAGGAAATATTTTATTAGAATTTATAGAATTTTATTTGTGAAACTACACAAATAAACTATGCAACTATAAAATAAACCTGTTGGACAGAGACCGTTTAACTTCTTTGTAGAATGGGGGAAATCTTTTCATGTGCATATCAGTAAGGAAAAGACTGAACAACAATGTAAGAAAATCTGGTTAATCATATAGTAGAATCTTACAAGACTCCAGACTTTTACTGGAGCAAGTAAGCTGATTATTCTATATAAACCTGAAGGTCTACATTTAATACTACTCTTTATATACTAATCTAATAATACAATTGCCAGTCGTTATTTATGTTGATTTAATATGTATGTTTATTTAGATACCCACATTATTTTTTAAAAAGTGCTTTTTTAATTGTGAAATTTCGGGTTATTTTGTCTTACCATATAGTCACAGAGATGCTGGTTAACGTTCTCAACATATGCTCTGATGATGAACTAATTTCTGATGAAGAATCATTAGAAGGTAAATTTGCCTTTTCCTCATTTGAACTAGAAACTAAGAAGTTTCAGTTTTGGTTTGTATTTTGAATAATTTTATCTTATTAAAAAAGAATTGTGTTCATTGTAAAAAAAAAAATACATAAACTCGGATACAAAAAACCATAAATAAGGGAAAAAAAAGTTATCCATAATCCCACCATCTCATAGACATCTATTGCTAATATCTTGATGCATGCTGTATTAGCTGTCTTTTATCTTTGAGTATATATATATAGATATTTTTTCTATCCTTTTGACAAAAATGAGGTCATAGTATACTGTACCCTACTCTTTTTCATGTAACAGTATGATAAGCATTTACTGTTTTATTTCTTGGAGATTAATTTTTAATGGTTACATAGTAGTCCTGTCTATCATCACTTATTTAACCAATCCCCAGCTATTGGATATTGGATTTATTCCAACTTTTTGCATTTAAAAACTCTACAGTTTTGAAAATTCTTCCAGATAAATCTTTGCATGTTCAGTCAACAACCAGTACTCATTACATGCCTGATATGTGCCAGCCACTGTTTTAGGTACTGAGGATCCGTTAGAGAATGCAGAAAAAGTCCTTTGTCTCTCAGTAAGCTCATATTCTAGTGGGGAAGGGGGGTGCGGAAGACAACAAACAATATAAATATATGTCAAATGGTGATATATACTATGAAAGAAAGTAATGTAAGGAGGTCAAGAATAACATTTTCTTAACTATTTCCATAGGATAGATTTCTAGGAATTGAGTATCTGGGTCAGTTTGTATTTAAAATTTTAAGTCTGATACAAGTAGGTTCTAGAAAAACTGTACCAGTTTACATTTTGTGTGTGTGGTGCTCAGTTCACAGTGCTCTCTCCAGTACTGTTTATTATAATTTTATAGTCTGGTGTTTTTTAGATTTTAATTTGTATTTTTATGATAAACTTGTGTGTGTGTGTTTATTGGCCATTTTTATTTCTCTTTTGTGAATTGTCCATTCATATCTTTTGCCCATTTTTCTACTGGATTCTGTACATTTTTTTTCCCTTACTGATCTGTAAGGAATTTTTATTTAGTAACATTTTGTTGTATATGTAACCATATACTTTTTTCCTAGTGTGTCGATTTTAAAGGTAGGTCCTAACTTGTCTAGAAATGCAGAAGATTGTGGAAAGATGGTGGCACCTGAGCGCAAACCTCTGACTGTCTAATTTTCTCCAGGCTCTCTGCTAAGGTGATCCACTCAGCTGTTAGAACAAGCCATCTACATAGTCGAGAGAGCTTAGCTTACTTTGGGAATCCAGAGATGCCCCAGTGAACTCCTAAATTCCATACGTATTTTTTTTTTTCTTTTCTTTTCTTTTTTTTAATTGTACTTTAGGTGAAGGTTTACAGAACGAATAGTTTCTCCATTACACAGTCAATAGGCATATTGTTTTATGACATTGGTTAACAAACCCACAACATGTCAAAACTCTCCCTTCTCAACCTTGGAGGACTTGTTTTCTTTTTTGGTGAAAATCCATACATATTATTCCCTGCCTTCAGTACAGAGCAGCAGTTTTATCTCCTCATTGTAATCAATGTTGATTTTTCTTGCCTAAATGGAACTTCTTTCTTTTCCCCCTTGTCCACTAAACTGAGAAGCTCAAAGTGACTAGGTAGTGATCATAATTTCAAGTTTAGTAGAACAGTTACAGTGAATGTACAGAGCAGATGGAGCATAGTTTGTGAGTCGAGTACCTTTATTTATGGACTAGGAAATCACTACAAGATCACTACAGTTATTCTTGAGGAAATAGTGCAGCCAAATGAAAATTAAAACAAAATAAGGAATTTAAGTTAGTGGAAGATGAAACATAAGAAATCAAATAAGTAAAATTTAGTCAGATCTAACTGGAAATTGAAATGATTGTAAACTCTATTACATATGTTAAGGAAGAAATCTTGATTATCAGAAGGATATGCTTATAAAAGTATGCCAAAAATTGTATATGGGAATATTTATTGTCTGAAACTACAAAAGATTCAAAACAATCTAAATGTCCCTCGGTGGGGCACTAGGTGAATTAATTATGATCTATCCATATGACAGATACCTTTTCCTCTGTTTGAAATATTATTTCCTTTATGCATGCTTCCTTTCTCCCCTCCTCTTCTAGTTAACTCCTCGTCAGCTTCTTGTTACTTCCTCATGGAAGACATTTCTGACCTCCCTGACTAGATCTAAAACCCTGTTATGCTCTCTCATATCCCATATACCTCTC